CGAGGAGGATGGATATTACCATTGGGAGGAGCATGAGGCCGGATTGCAGGGGGGTAGCGGATCTGACTACTTGGAACCAGAGGGAGAGCTGTGAGGATTGTGAGTGAGTGGATGGGTAAGAACGACGGTGGAGGGGGAATCTCACGTAGTAGGAGGCAATGCCGTTCACGGCCTGAAGGGCTAGACTGAACAGGGCTCCGAAGAGGATTGAGCGCTGTTTTAGGAGTCGTAAAGGAAGCATAGCGAAGTCTTGCTTCTTCACCTGTACGAGCAAGAAAACGACAAAGAAGATGGGTGATATCGTTAGCAATGCAATGATGCGGTCATTGCTCCAACTGTAGGTGTCTCCGCCCCATTGAATCGATAAGAGAAGGGTTAGTAGGCCTGCTGCGAAGAGAACCATTCCGGCGAAATCTATTTGCTTGAGGCGTTGAACGTGGCTTACGCCGTGGGTGGTCCTGCCCGAGGGGCTCTTGAATATCACCAGAGTGGTAATGGCAGGCAGGATGGAGCCTATCACGTTAAGGTAGAAACACCATCGCCAGGATAAGGAGGAAGTGATGGCACCGCCGATGATAGGGGCGATGGCAGTCGCGCAGAACTCGCTTGCGCTGATGGCTCCGATGTAGATGGGACGTTTGTTCAAGGGTCTAGTCATGGAAATGATCCTGCTGCTTGTTAGACTGTGAACTTGTGTGAGATGTAAATACTGACACCATGCAGCCCTGGCTTATACCCGAAAAGCCAAGTCCGCTGATGACGCGCCCGATGATGAAGACCAGCGAGGAAGGGGCAGCGCCGGAGATGATAGCGCCAGCTTCAAAAACGATGAGGTGAAGTAGAAATGCCCATTTTACGGAGAACTGATCGAATACTCTGCCTTGAAGAAGCTGGGACATGCTGGATGCCAGCCGACTGTTGGATATTGTCAGCTGCTGGTAACATGAGTAATCTAAGCAATGGTGATTGTTACGACTCACAACGCAGACCCATACCACCCAACATCAGCGATGGAGTGGAATTCATCCGTGATTTTGGGCACTGCAGTTGTTATGATAGTTTCATCCTAAGACCTTTTAGAGACCAGCTGTGCTCTATCAGGAAGGATGGACTTACCAGTCCCGTCAAGAACACAGTGAGCACCAGGGAAGCAGAGATTAGAGCGAAGTGGAATCCATGTGGGTATACTGGCTGCTCTTCACGGGGACCTTCATCTCTAACTTGGGCATTGGAATCGATCTTCGATGCTGGAGTGGCCTCTTCCACCCTTTCAGTCAAGACAATCTCCTCTGTCATCGTAGCCATGGCGCATAGATGCACTCATACCCCTCATAGCAGAGATGAGAATTAAGTGGGTTGTCTAAATGTCCAGACAACAGGCACAGACAGCCGCACTTAAATCCGACAAGACCTGTGCGGCGTAGAAATTACTCATTTGCCCCAAGCGCCCGGAGCCTTGTTCTAATTGCGCCGCTCTGCTTTTATCAGCCAGCGTGGACAACCTATAGCTGGAGATAACATATATCTCGCAGCCTATTTTTGACAGGGGTTTCGGCACCGGTCCTGTCCACTAGACACTGCACCATCCAACCAGACGACGAGGTGATCAGATCCTCCGGATTCTCCGATGGTACTCCGGAACTTCAATGTCGTCAGCCACCACTCAGGCCTCCTACAGGACGCATCGATCAGGCAATAGCAATCCGATAGGTTGAGGTAGAAGGGGAGCATGAGGCTCTTGTACATACGGTAGATACTAGCCGAAATTAGTCGAAATCATAGCTTTTGTCTGGTAGCTATTCACTTACGATACTATTGCTCTCTCATGGAAGGGACGACTATCCCGAGGTGAGAAGGATCGATATATTTTATGTGTGAGGGTAGGACATGCAAGTAGATAGTTAAAGAAGGTTGCCCAGTTAAGGTGCTGGAAATAGTCAAATCTGGAATGGGCAGGCACCGCCGGGGCTGACAACTGGGCATGCATCTATCATTGAGCGAGCAAGGTAGCCTATCTCAATAACTCGCCCACTGCGAGACACAATTACCCAAATGAATAAAGCGTTAAATTTCAGCAGGGTTTAAACCTACAGTAAGGTCGTAGCGCTGGTAATCATGTTTTCATAATGATTGAGAGATGCAGCCATCACAATCGTCAGTGTTCTAGCAGCATAGCTAGCAATGAAGAATATCACAAGCTATGCTGCTTCACTATCACCCCCCTTCTCAAACAACTCTTCAATCCTCTCCAGACTCTTTCCCTTAGTCTCCGGCATCAGCACACAGACCGCCACTGCCACAAGTGTCGAGAACCCATACAAGAAATACGGACCTGAAGGGGACCGATGCAGAAACAACGGGGCCGTAAGGGTGACGACAAAGTTCACAATCCAGTTGGCCAGCAGCTCTACCGCACATACCTTTGCCCGGAGTCGAGTGGGGATAATCTCTGAGGCGTAGATCTTGCCGACCTATAGAGAACCACATCAGCAAAATAGTCTGTATGACTTGAGGAAAAGTACGAACCACAGCCCACGACCAGGAAAAGTTTGCCACAAAGATGAATATTAGCACGACCACGGCCCATTGAGCAGAGTGAGAGTCCAAGGTGACAGCATCGTGGGTTGTGTGACCGTAACGGGCATACAGTGCTCCAATGACGATGAAACAGATGGCCATCGCTGATCCCCCCGTGATCAAGGGCTTACGGCGCCCCCATCGGTCTACCCAGATCTGGGCGGGGATGGTGAAGACTAACATCACAATCCCGATGATGCCAGATGACAGGAAGGAGGCTTTGGTGGATGTGAAACCTGCCTGTTCAAAAAGAATGGGTGCATAGTATAGTACCACATCGATCTATGGCCAATCAGTCCAATGTCTGGCTAGCCCGGTAAAGAAGCATGTGTTCAGTAGGCAAAAGAAAGATGATCTGAACTTACCCCTGTCAGCTGCTGAAAAGTCATTAGAAACACTCCAAGCGATGTACGACCAATGTACTTCCGACCAAATATCTCCGCCATACTAGCAGTCGCTCGCTGCTGGTCAGACTGCAGACTATCCTGAATCTCACGTAGCTCCTCTTCCACCACAGGTTCAGGGCGCAATTTACGCAAAACCCGACGTGCATCTTCGTTGCGGCCGACCTGTACCAGCCATCGAGGCGAGAATGGCAGGAGCAGCATCATGACCGACAGGACCGCGGCCATGATGGCCTGAATAATAAACGGTACCCTCCATGACATACTCCCATTGAGATACTGTGTCCCATACGTGATAAAGTACCCCGACATAATGCCAAAGACCACGTAGAGCTGAAGCGAGCAAGCCACCACGCCCCGCACATCTGCAGGGGCTATCTCCACCAGGTACACGGTGGTGACGGAAATGGCTTGGCCCATGCCAACCCCGGTAATCAGCCGGGCGACGATCAAGCTAGTGAAATTAGGCGAGCAGGCGGAAATTATGGTCCCTGCCAGTGAGAGCAGGCTGCCGATGAGAATTCCGTACTTTCTCGAAATGCGGTCCGAGACATGGCCGCTCGCCAAAGAGGATGCGGATGACGAAAGGAGGATACAAGCGACGAAGACACCCTGTTGAGTAGACGACAATCGGCCAATAGAGGATTCGAATTGGGGCATTTGCGTGACGGGGCCAATCGAACCTGGAATTGTGAGTTTCGGGGCCATAGCGAGAGGGAAGTGAACAGACCTGTGTCCAGGCCATACAAGAGCCCGGCCAGGGCGACAAGGCCAGCAATGAGGAAAACCTTCCCCTTGGGCGAAACCATCGGACGAGACTAGGGTGATTGAGAGAGACGGAAATAGATGTTTTGACTGAGGAAGAAGACGCTTCCAAGCGATCTCCTTTTTGCATGGGCTTCATTCACCCCCTCTCTAAGGTAGCATCGCCTAAGTTGCTCGTTGACAAATGAAAAAGGTCGCCGGCGTCGGAGTTGCTGGGACAATCTTTTGCGGTCTGGACTTATACCCCGGCCGTCAAGAATGATTTCGATAGGATATTGCAGCAATATATGCATGCTGTGCGCAGCATGATCGACCCAGAGCGGTCAGGTCAGTGCCTGAGCGAGGTGGGATTACCGTTGGATTTAGATTGCAGATTCAGCCCGGAGACACAGGGGGCGGGGAATGGTGCAGTCCAGCTACCAATAACGCATTGAATAGCTCGAATTGAATCTGAGTTGAGGTTACATTCACTCGCATGCTGCCTCTAGCGCTTATGCCGATCACCGCTCGCCATATGGGCCAAGCCTGTACACAGTCACACCTGTCGCTGGGCACCGAGCCGGTCTTGCAAGTCCTCGGGGCCAGTCCCCTTGCGTCTTTGAGTCTCAGAATGCAATTGTCACACACGAAATAAGCGGGTGCAACACACGAGCCTCGTAACCCAGGAAGTTGCGTACCCGTTCTGGTAACACGCATCTTGCCAATTAGAACTATACCCTCAATAGCAGGTCTTACTCATCTCGGTCAGTAAACCACCAAAAATAGGGGATTGCCGACTAATTGCATCGAGGCCGTCACCTCATGTAGAGACGTCAGAAAGACATTGGCGCACTCGGTAGCCAACGATGTAGCCAACGATGTAGCTAGCGGCGACCAGGGTACGCAAGCCTAACATACAATGTTGCATCGTCGCAATAATCCGGTCGGAAAGGGAAACATTTTGTAAGTCATCCGCACGGTCAAGCCGAGGCCCAGACTTAATGTTTACCTTGTAAGGGTAAGTGTACGGATCAGCTTCGACGCAACACTTCCCGTCGGCTAATTTTTGGCTGACGGAGATCATGGCTCGATGGTCTCTGAAGGCCGAAAAGTAAGACCCGTGTCGACGATGGCGAAATTCGTAATGCCTGTGAATGTAAGAAGGTCGCCGAGCTTAGAACCCCAAATATTTAAGATCCTGGGTTCCTTCACGACCGATCAGTAGTAGGAACACTTAAAGCAGAGAAAACATTAATTCCTGACCTAATTATAACCATGGATATCAAAAAGTGTGGTCTGGGTGCAAATGGTATGTTTGTCTTCAGTGTCAAAATCTTGCCATTTAGCTGACCTGTCACTCCAGTCCCAACATTCTATGATCCATCTGACGTCGAGTCAATCCGTGCCTCTGTCTTCAATGATGGTATAGCTTTTGTGGAAGGTTGCGAGGAAGAGGCCTTGGTGGGTCTTGCACACCAACTGGGACAAGTTGTGAGACCGCGGAATGAGGCAACACCCGGTAGTGGTGTAAGTCGAATTCGGTTTGCGTCAGACTTGATTGGAAAGGGATACAGCTCTGAAGGTTCGTCCATAGAACGAGGATAATTCAGCAGACCATAACTGATGTACTCATCACAGAGCTATTTTTTCATACTGATCGCAGCGGCTGGGACGAGCCTCCGCGGATCTTGATGTCAACACTTCGTTCTCAATCAGAATCCGGGGGTGAGTCGTTGCTAGTCGACGGCCAAAGCGTCCTCAATACCCTCAAGAAGCATGATGAAGACCTGTACAACCTCTTCACTAGCTCAAAGCACACCAGCTTCCGTGCCGACGATGGAACGTTCGTGCCACGGGCCATGGTCGACAAGGACACGGGGATTTTTCGCTTCCGGTTCGACGATGGCATCCAGATGTCTGCATCGATGGTTGTTGGCTTTGCCAAGCTGCAGGATATCATTTACCAGCATGCCTATTTCGTAACCTTGCGACCCGGCCAGGGCTATGTGCTGGATAACCACCGGTACCTGCATGGGCGAGCCTCATTCACTGGTTCACGGGAGCTGTTACGAGTCCTTGTCAAGCCCTCTTCTCCACCCAGCGAAAGGGTAATCTTGTTTGACATTGATGGAACGCTTTGTCGGTCTGAGGCACTCAGTATCGATGCATACTATTCTTGTGTGAGTGACATTGTGGGAAAGGACATCAATCATGCAAATACCCCGGTAAACCTGCACGGACGAACCGATCTTGGCTTGCTGCATGATATTCTGGATTATCACCAGGTGGCCACGAAGGATCAGGTGGTGGAGAAGTTCCTCAAACTCCACCCGCAGTACCTGGAGCGTTCTTTGTTCAGGGGCCTACCATCGGTGATATGTCCGGGCGCACAGGAAATGCTGAGCTGGCTGATTAGGGAAAATGAGAACTCCAGCCTACCGAAGTTCCAATTGGGTCTAATTACGGGCAATTCTCGACCCAACGCGTTGCTCAAGCTCCGTGGAGCGGGAATCGACACCGGCATATTTGACCTCGCTATCTCGTCATTCGGTGACAGTCACCATAATCGACTATCATTGTTTCAAGATTCACTCTCCAGATTGCAGGCCCGCTTTGGTTCGCATATACGCGCAAAAGATGTCCTAGTCGTTGGAGACACGCCTCTAGATGTGGAATGTGCGAAGCAGGCTGGTTGCTCAGTCGTGGCCGTTGCAACAGGGAACTATAAGATGGAGGAGCTTGCCTCGCTGAAGCCTAATTTCTGCTGCAGTCAGTTGATTGAAACGAAGGAATACCTTCTGCAGGCGGCCTTTTAGGCATTACCGCCATTGTTAATATATCTTTGTCACATACACGTTATGAAATGGCCACACACTTTGTATCGCAGGTGACCATATATATATCCGAGTCCATCGTAGAAAAAGGCCTTCCACACGGCCCAATGTGAATTCGTATGAGCTGTAAAATCTCCATATTCATCCGGAGTAGCAGTAAATATTGGTTCATATTGTTCATGGGTGGCCTTCGAAACGAGGCTCCCACCTAACTGCGCTCTGACTCCAATGTCGAGCCAATAATTTCCTGGATTTCCCCGGCCGCGGTACCTGCCAGAACGCCCACCCCAACAATTCCACCATCGCTGGCCTCTCGAAGGAAGACACTCTTCCCTTCACCCTGTGGTCCAGCACTTAGGATCAATCGGTCAATGTGTCGCTGGATCCTGTCTTTGTAGTGAGGGTAGTGCTGGATCACACCACCAGACACGGCCACAACCAACTCCTCTGGACCTTTCCGCCAATCAGGGGTCAATGATTCAGGATTTGGGACTGTATCATTCTGTGTGCTCATTGATTTACCTGGTCCGGAACTCTTATCATCCGTTTCGAGGAGAGATATGCTCTTCAATTTAACCTCGCCAGTGCATGCTAGAAGACCAACTGTCGCTGCAGCAACCAAGGCAGATGATCTCTCTTGAACCGCCGCAGCGATCATACGAACATGTCCAGCAAGCTCAGGGGTCCAAATCCAGTCACTCGAGGATGGTGACGGAAGGTGGTTTGATAGTGCCACGGCCAGATGTTCGTTCGAGGAACTTGAAGCCACCACCAGCGACAGAAAGTCTGTAGATAAGCAGTCCCTTTCGACCAGCTTCTTCGGCATTGATGAGCGTGGGATATTCTTGGCTTCATGAAACCAATCATAACAAATGATGCGGACAAGCTCGCCAATATAACGGCCACCAACCATGTACTCTAGGGGCTGAAAGCCGGGCCGATTTGAATGCTCTTCCAGCTCAGCATCCCACTTAGTCACTATACCGAGCTCCTCCAGGGGTCCGGTTGCTCCGTGAAGGGTCCATTCAGTTGAGACGACAGTTTCATCTGCTTCTGGCTGCTTTTCTCGGATGTGGGCCACTTTTGATTCCTGTAGGTCAGCAAGTTTCATTGGAATAGCGGAGTTACAACCAGCGCCGACGATAAGCCCCATGACCACCCGAGCATTTGGGAGGGCACGTATCGAATATGCCAGAGAAGCTAATGTAGCGACCGTGTCGTTGGTCATGACAGTGACCTTCAACTTCGGCAGACAGTAAGTCTTGCGTCGCTTGGCCGGCATATCACTTGAATCCTGATCTGAGCGCCGGGTGTGACATTCATATCCATCCAGCAAGGCTTGGTGGAGATTTAGCGAGGAGTTCAAGGCGAACCCCTTGCCCGTGGGCATAAGAATGGCCTCATTGAGAAACTTTTGCCTGCTACCGGTTAAACCAATGCCTACATATTCTGCAAACTAGATACGAACTTAGTAGGAAAGCAGAAAGAGATTCCCATGATAAGCTCTTTAGGCGGGTCGCCTTTAGAGTTGGCGAGGTCATCCGCAATGACTTCGGCAATGCAGTCACCGATCCAGGCGAATAGGGACCGGGCTTGGTCTCGTCGTAGCCGCTCTTCGATGGGCCACGCCTTCTCCAGGGTTCGTCTCACATGAGGCTGTCGTCCTACTGGTTGGTCCCCTAGCAGTTCAATGAAGGCCACCCGGAGGTAGGAAAGGCCGAGGTAGACGGCCAGATAGCGACCTGTTTCATGGCCGGTGGGCAGCCGGGTGATGGCGGTGGGGAAGAACTGCTCCGATGAGCTGGCAGCAAGCTCCCGGTATGTATGGGATAGGCGATGGGAGAGGTTGTAGAGTGTGTGGTGGTCTATACTGAGGGGATGCAAGAACTCTTGGAGATTAGGATCCGACTTTCCCATCTTGGCGGATGAATCCTTGAGATAATCAACAGTAACTACTATTTAGTAGTTATGGAGGGAAGCAACCCAAGGCGGGCGGCGGGGACGAGCCGCCGGTGCGTGGCTTTTGCTCCACCCCGTGGCGCTATTCTGCTGTGGTACCACGGGTCTTCATGCAAGGAGCAACTCTGGTAAAAGCCAAAGAAACTACAAAGACTGAGCTAATACTTGATGCTTGCTTTGACATAATGGACATAAGTGACAGGGTTAAATTTCTTTGAATTTCTTGGGTGTGAGTGCGTGGGCGACAGAGGAGCTAGAGAATGCCTGGTTTATGGTTAATGCTCCAACAGTACCTACCAGCGATGCCAAACAAATCGCAATTTTCGCAATTACCGACAACAGTTTACACAGTGAAGAGTGCAGGTGGCTTTTGATGAGAATCTCATGTGTAACATGATTGTAATCGTAGGATTGACTTTGAGCGGGATTAGTCTAATCACCTGAAGAGTCTTATCAACTCCGGGATAGGCACTCTAATAGTATCGTGATATAAATTTTTTAAGGCGGAGTTGAAGACTCCAACTACTAAGAATAACCGGAATCATCTTATGTCACATATTTTCTAGATAACTAGTAACTAGTTAGTAACTACTCTCTCATGAGTAATCAGCGGGTGGCTGGAGGCCTGAAGCTTCCATTCAGACCATTTAAGTCCGAGTAAGCACCGATGCCCCTCAGAACTGGTCATCTGTCAGACAGCATCTTTCTTCCTTAGAAAAGACAGCGTCAACGTTGAAAACTGTAGCATTTCGCTGATCCAACGTCAAACCAAATCCCAACTATTAACCTTCTATTCCGTGCCCTCACAAAATGACACAAAACAAGGCTGCCTGGATTACAGCCCCTACGGAGCATCCGTTCACTATCCGGGATGCGCCGTATCCCACACCAGGACCCGGGGAAATTGTGATAAAGAATGCTGCTGTTTCTATTGTGCGATCAACCCACGGATTTCACTACTATCAGCTAATTTCTTTTCTTATAGAATCCCGCTGACTGGAAAATTCAGTACGATTGGACTTTGCACCCATGACGCAGCGTACATATCAATCTAATTTCCTCCGTAGGACATATGGTGGCCCTTGGCTGAGAAACTGGCCATTTGTCTTGGGCACAGATGTCGCAGGAGTGGTGGTTGATGTAGGCCCTGGTGTGGTCCGCTTCACCAAAGGCCAGCGGGTCGTCGCGTAAGTATTGTGGCCGAATCAAGAACCTGAAGTTACCAGGTTATAGCGAGACCTGCTAAATGCTGTTGCAGATATTGTCACTGTCTAGGGACCGGGGATCCCGCCAACTCGGGATTCCAGTGGTACACCTTGGTAAAGGAAATCACTGTAGCAGGCATACCTGATTCGATTACCTTTGAAGAAGCATCTGTGCTACCGCAGGCTATTTCGACTGCCGCAGCAGGTCTATTCCTCAGAGAAAGCCTTGATCTTCCCATACCCCCTCCTACCGGTGTGAAGCCGACAGGCAAATCGATCCTCATCTGGGGCGGCGCGTCTTCGGTTGGCGCAACGACAATTCAATTCGCAGAAGCAGCCGGTCTAAGTGTGATCACGACTGCATCGACCCATAACCATGAGTTAGTGAAATCTCTGGGCGCAAGTGCTGTATTCGACTACAAGTCACCTACCATCGTTGAGGATGTTGCCAGTGCGCTCAGCAACACGGACTTTATTGGCGTCTACGATGCTATTTCCGAACCTGCAAGTTTCGAGATGGTGCGTGCGGTTCTGGACCGGTTGAAGGCAGATGTTAAGACCATATGTGTTTCGCCATATGATAAACCTACAGAACGGTTTGCTCCGATCTTCAGTAAAGCCCCTTATGACACCTGCTTCTACCCAATCATCTTCTCTAAATGTAACTAACATTCTTCCCCATTTAGTCAGTTCCAACTTCCTCACATATGACTCAAACAAACATGTCGCCGACGGCATTTGGAGAGACTTCGTCTCGGAAGCCTTGGAAAACAGACGCCTCAAACCAAAGCCTGACCCTGAAGTTGTTGGGAAAGGGCTGGAAGAGATACAGAATGCTGTGGACATTCAAAAGAAGGGCGTCTCGGCCAAAAAGATTATTGTCACTCTGTGATCATCGAATGCTAGTTAAGCTTTTTGAATTTGGGAAGTGGCTGTATGGAAAGAGGACAACTACTACAATTTCCAGACCTACATTTTTTTTTTTTTCAAGACCGAACAATGCTAGTAGTACTAGTATACGTCTTTCAGAGCTTTGAGATGGAAGGTAATAGAAGTTGGACTATACAGCTTTAAGAGGTATTATTCTAGTTTACCCAGGAATAGACGAGCCGGGGGCATTCTGCGCCCGCTCCTCGGAATAGTTATCGAAGAAATTCTGGATCATTAACCCACCCGCCGCATCGAGAAACTCGGCATTGAATGATCCGGGAGCATATCCAGACATATTATCATCAAGCCCTAATGCATTAGGTTTGAAAGTTTGTTGGTCGTTCGTAGGGAACCAGAGAGCTCGGAAAGACCCTGGTAGCTGGCTGGAAGCGTAAGGAGCCATGTCGCTGGGGACGGCAATTCCATGACCATGCTCTACCGCATGTTAGTCGCATTCACCTGGGGCCTACGATTCTAATTTCCCGTGTCAAAGTGGTTCGGGACATACCGAGTATGTTTTGTAGCACGTCTCGAGCTCGCAGGGCCATATCATGGGAAGAACCCAGACTCCCCAAACATTTCACAGCGCGTTGTATTTGACATTTCCATGTCTGCGCGAGGCTATGTGCTGGCTCATATATATAGCACGTCGCCTGGACGAAGCTGGCTGTTAGCAGCCAGCAGGTCGCATACCACGTCAGGCCGCGGCGGCGGTTACTCGTTGACTCGAGAAAGCTGCAGATGGAAGCAACACACTCATCTGCGGCGGTAAGGCAGGCGGCGACTGGGCCTGTAGAGGTGGCGAGTTCGGATTTAGCGGCAATGCTTTGGAAAAGAAAGGGGCGGTTGATAACGATACGCAGGTGGAAAGAGCGCCATAGAAGGACTCGACGCGGGATGTCGAAACGCGGCTCTAGGGGAATGCTGAGCCCAAAATGAGGCGGCAGCTCCTGGTACCATGTGTGTATACGCTGCTCGAGATCTGCGGCTTTCTGTTGGGTAGGTAAATGGTGCGTTAACAGCTCTACCTGAACGACATTGGCAATCTTTGCGAGGTTCACTTGCGCAATGAGGCATGAGGTAATAGTCGGGCCGGTGCCACACTCAGGTAGTTCATCCATGTCTACTGCTAGATCATGGTCATCGACATTAGCTGGTAGATGAACATTCACACCAACAAGCGAGACTGCTGGTCGGCCCAGAGTCAGCTGAACGCCTGATACAAACACAAATAGTGTCCACCAAACGCGTCGGCGTATCTCCATTGTGAAGGGCGAAGTGCTAGGCATGCCAAACTCCCGATGCAAGCCAATAGCCAGCGCCATACTCCAGCCGATACCAATCACAATAAAAGCAGCATTTGGTTTGTTGCGCTTCTGCATATAGTTTGCCATGAGAACTATCGCTTGCACATAACTCAGAGATCCTTTCTCAAGAACATCCATTGACAAATGCTTGCGTGCTTCTTTGAAGAATGGTATGTCCACTTTGGTGCCTTGCGAATCTCCAACGAAAGCCCCAATGGCGAGCACAATATTGTACAATATGGGCCAAGAGCCATCGCGTGGCTTTGCTAGGGCACCTGTTCGTTGTTAGACATCCGCTTGTTATTTGCTGCAATAGAGGGCTACCTGAGACGCGAGCACGAAAAGTTCCTTCATGAAGAATGGGATACGCGGGATGATAGAAAGCAAAATAATCATCCAGGTAGCGAAGTACATCCGCCCGTCTCTGCTGTGCTGTGCAGGCAGTGCCACCATCAATGTCGTCGTCGAGGCAAGACAACGGACTGAAGCTGGTCAATGGTAAGTAAAGTGGAAGTGACTGAAGAAACTTGAGGGCTGCTATGCCGGACTGTGGTCCTGTATAGCCTGCCTTGTGCGGATCTACCGTCAGAAAGCCCATGCCGTCGGTAGAGTTGTCAAAGTCCTGTGACTCGTCGAACTCATAATCTTCGGCGTTACTCGGTTCAACAAAACTAGCAGGAGGCTGCTCAGTCGCATGAGTAACGTCGCTTAGGTGCTTCTGTCTGTGGGGGCCTTGCTGGGTAGCAGTGATAGAGTCGTTCTGGGAGCGGACGGTCTGGAGCGCATCCTGGAGATCAACTGTAGGAAGGTAGATGGCCCATGCTCGTTCCATATCAGCTCTCAAGCGCTCTGACTCATTGAGACGTCTATATAAATGAGCATTTTGATGAAGAAACAAGAGTTGAAGCTAGCTGATTTCCTTTACCTTTGTAAAGTCGAAAGACGCTGGGATGGTGAAGAGTAACGACAAGATCTGGCATCCCGGCGACAGTTGTTGCAATTCTCGTTTCCAGAGCAGCGTATTTTGCGTCGCTTGCACTCATCACAAGCAAAGGTCTTCCGAAGAATGCGTCGAGACTGAGAGATGTCCATCGCTATGGGTGTAGTTCAAGGGAAGAATGAGAAGTCAACCGTGGCGAACGGAGATTTCCCCGGGTGACGCCAAGACGGCTCCCCGCAGAGTCTGGGGATACCGACATCTACACATCGTTGCTGAATGGAAACTCGGCTTGGTTCCTGCTCGTGATGGACAAGCGTTATCTATGAGTTGACTATTTTGAAAGGGATAGTCTAGACGATATGCAGAGGAAGCTACGTGTCCTAAGGTAGCAAGATGCCGATCGGGCATCTACTCGGCACCCCGGAAATAGCCCCGATGCGCTACGGCGATAGATCCGGTGCTCTCTGCACGGCTCGGACCCAATGACGTGCCACGGTTTCCCGGACTATCATGCAGGGCATTTAAACGCTGACCTCGCTAAGTACAGTTGGCTGGATTAGCAATCTTCAATACTCGATTTACAAACAATCTGAGAAGACCATCATGTCCCTCAAAGGCAAAGTCGCCATTGTCACTGGCGGAGCCCGCGGAATCGGCGCCGGCATTGTCCGCAGTTTGAGCGAACAGGGTGCAAAGGTATCGTGATCATATAGTATTTTCTGCCGAAACATGATAGTTTTACTGACATTGAAGCAGGTCGCGTTCAACTACGTCTCCCCATCTTCGCGCAAAGCCGCAGATGCGCTTATCGAATCACTCCGACAGAACAACAATGAAGCCACTGCAGTTCAAGCCGACATCACTGACCCAAATGCCCCGAAGATGATCATACAAGCGGCCCTTGAGGCATTCCAGACAGGCCAGATTGACATTCTTGTGAACAATGCTGGCGCGGGTGATAACCGGCCCCTGGAGGAAGTGACCATGGACAGCTATATGCGACTAATGGATGTCAACGTGCGAGCAGTCGTCTTCATGACGCAGGCCATACTTCCATACATTCCCCGCGGAGGTCGAATTATCAACTTGTCTTCTATCTCTTCTAGGGGCGGTTACGCCACCCAATCTGTGTATGCAGCCAGTAAGGCAGCAGTGGAGGGTCTTACGCGGGTGTGGGCAACAGAGCTGGGCCATAAGTATGGAGTGACCGTAAATGCGGTTAATCCGGGGCCTGTTGATACAGATATGTACCAGGCAGCCGGAGAAGTACATCTGAAGCGGATGGAGGAGCAAAACAAGAAGGTTCCAGCCGGGCAGCGATGTGGAACTGTGCAAGATATCGGGGATATTGTTTCGTTCTTGGCTGAAGAAAGGTCCCGATGGGTGACGGGCGATGTGATATGTGCTAATGGTGGGATGTTGTATATTTAGACAGCGTCGTGTTCAATAAGGAATACAATAAAAAGACATGGTTTCCTAATTATCATTTTTGACCGACCTATTGCCCTAGATCTACATACTTCAGGCTCGATACCACGCTTCACAGTTGTGGTCCTTTGGATTCCGAAATTGGAAAGCACATTACCACCCGGTCACCACGGCAGCAAAGTCGCCACAACCCCAACATAATCACGAAGCTCATCACTTCGAGCTGTTCAGGAACTTCACTGTTCTCCGTGGGGAAAGCCAAGCCTCTGACGAAGCCCAGTGGATGCCATCGGGAAAACCCCCGTCGTTTACCACGGCGATAGCTCCGCGAGCCGAGTCCCACAGTCAGGGCTTGTCCCGAACGTCGGCTCAAGGTCGACGAGCTGCTGGCAATTTCGATAGCTGCAGAGAACAATATTACCCGAATAAAACCAGTTCGATGTGTTAATGTAAATTCGCCCTTGTCTACCTCTGATCACCCTGTCTTCCCAGAGCCCAAATTAGAAGGCATTCAGACCTCATGCTGCCAGTATTAATAGACATATGGATAGTAGTCATTCGGAAAAAGATTCACCAAACCAAATCACCAGGAATGAACTGTCATTCAATATTGTAAATAGGATTATGGCTATAGCACAGTGGCTTGCCTCTCGGACAACATTGGACCGGGACCAGGCTAGAAACCGGGGGCCCGGTCGTAAACTATTGGCATGAAAACGAATTGACAGTCAATGCGGGGGCTATCTCTGGGGTTCTGGGGTAATATAAAACGCCTTTCCTTCTTCGTATATGGTGCTATTTTTCCTTCTCTCCTCCCATGCTCACCCGATGGGTTCTTCTTTTCCATCTGCTTCACCTCCCTCCGCCCCCTAAGACATACCTGGTTGTTGTTCGCACAACCTCTACCCTTCACAGACATGTCTGCTCCCTCGACTGGCTGCCACCGGAAGGCTGCCTCTCAAGAGCCTAGCTGTGACCAGATCGAGTCCGCATCAAGCCCAAAGATCCTCACCGAAGCCGATTGCTATTCAGAACTTGGGTTTTCATTCCCAAACATCAAAAAATGGACTATAATCCTCGTCATATTCCTCGTTCAGACATCCATGAACTTCAATACCAGCCTATATTCCAACGCCATATCAGGCATCTCCGAAGAATTCAACGTAAGCAAGCAGGCAGCTCGCTGCGGTGCAATGATCTTCCTCATCTTATACGCATTTGGCTGTGAGCTCTGGGCGCCTTGGAGTGAAGAAATGGGCCGAAAGCCTATCCTACAACTGAGCCTATTCCTGGTAAACATATGGCAAATCCCAGTTGGCATCGCCCCCAATTTTGCCACCATCATGGTTGGTCGAGCGCTTGGTGGCATCTGTACAGCCGGCGGCTCTGTCACCCTGGGCATGATAGCAGATCTATGGGAGCCAGATGACCAGCAGTACGCAGTGGCATGCGTGGTGTTTTCGTCTGTTGGTGGATCAGTCCTTGGCCCGGTGGTCGGGGGTTTCGTGGAAGCATACCTCCCATGGCGATGGAATATCTGGATTCAGCTTATCTTCGGTGGCTTCGTCCAGCTGGCGCATTTGGTACTCGTTCCGGAAACAAGAACATCAGTCATGATTGACAGGATCGCTAAGCAGCGACGGGAAAGGGGAGAGAATGTGTACGGACCGACGGAATTGATCCCTCTCAAGGACCGCTTTTCAGGGAAGGAAATTGTCGGGACCTGGCTTCGACCATTCCACATGCTCCTCACTGAGCCTATCGTGCTGTGTCTCTCCCTACTTAGTGGCTTTACTGATGCTCTGATCTTCATATTCATCCAATCCTTCGGTCTCGTGTACGCACAATGGAATTTCAGCACTGTCGCCGTCGGTCTCTCCTTTCTTCCAATCATGATAGGCTACGTTATCACCTGGATCATGGTCATCCCAGTTATCAAACGCAACATTCACGAACGTCGCAGCAAGCCCAACGACGAGAGAGCCCAATACGAATCTCGACTCTGGTGGCTCCTTTACACTGCGCCGTGTCTTCCCATCGGACTTATTGGCTTCGCATGGACGAGTCTCCCGCAGACTCATTGGGTTGGCAGCATGTTCTTCTCAGCCTTGGTTGGTATCGCCAACTTTAGCATCTTTATGGCCACGATCGATTATATGATCTGTGCTTATGGGCCGTACTCTGCGTCTGCCACCGGAGGTAATGGGTGGGCCAGGGACTTTCTGGCCGGTGTGTTGACTGTCCCTGCGACACCTTTCTATGAGAGTATGCCGGCCTTCAAGTCAAAGATGTTTGCGTGTGTATGGTGTGCTGACGTATGCTACAGATATTGGTGGGAAGTATCATTTGGAATATGCGTCCACGATTCTATGTAAGCCACCGCTTGCTCTGTTGCAGCATATTACTAATTCATTATATAGTCTGCATATCCATGATCCTTGTGGCAACGGTATATGTTGTATACTTCTATGGACCAACCCTTCGCAAACGGTCCCCGTTCGCCCAGAAGTTGCTGCATGAGAGGGCAGACATACACGCGTCGATGGAGCACAACAAGTAGTGCTAGCGACAGGCTATTATCAGCGGATGTTGTCAAATGTATAAGCACCGATGCGTGATAAGTGATTACTTTACAATAGGTCGTATACTACTTCCGACTTCAGATCTTGTGCTAGTTGGGAATCATACAATTGCTGGTAATAGGAAGCTTACAGAGATACCAAGCCAACTGTCCATTCCATCTGTATTGCAAATGTCCTTAGCTGGATGCAGTGAAACATAATTCGGCTACATACGGTGTTCTATTCAGTTGGTATAGCGGTGAGAAGCAGCAAGGGTTAAGGCAGTCCATTGACGCAGTCTTACCTTCCTGTTGAACACAATCCCTGTTATTAATACTTTGTGCACCCCCAAACCCATACCATGAAAGCATCAAACTAGATACAACAAGATGAGATTATCTAGCATGCTAATCACTAGATTACGAATAAGTAATTCAAATGAAATAATCTCTTTTACTGATTGGGTCTTCAAGGCCGTGCTTGCTTCGTCACTCCACGAACACAGCCAAGAAGGACGTCAAAAATGCCTCCTCTCAAGCCCTCACTGTCATCTAAGCTGCCTATCTTGTCTTGTAGCCCACTAAAGACACGAGTTTCCTCTGACCTATATAATTCTCTTAGAGGCAGAGCCTCAAAGATCCGCTGACACTTCAACGCAGAATCATGACTCGACTGTCCATAATTTTCAAGTAAGACATGCCGTTGCTCTGTTGAGCACATCTGCAATGCCCGGATAATAACCCAGGAGCATTTATTCTCTTGTATATCTGTGCCGATCTTTCCTGTCAGACGGTGGTTACCGAAAATATCAAGATAGTCATTTTGGGACTGGTAAAAGCTGCCCAGCAGTATAAGGATATCTTGGATTTGTTGGACATTTAGGGGAGTGTCGAGTTGGAGATATTGCAAAGCGATCGAAACTGATAAGTAGAAGGTGTAATACCCTGCCTTCAAGTTGCATATTTTCTCATACTCTGCCATGGTCCAGTTTTCAATGCTGCGTTGTTCGGAAGCGATACCATCGCATTCTTGGCCGATCTCACACAAGAAGGAGACTTCATGGAAGGTCTCCATTATCCTTAAATACGCTGGGTGTGTCTGGAAGTGTTGCTTGAGAAGGAAGAATATTGACGACCTAAGTAGACTACCGTCGTTGACTGCCTTCATACCGACTGATGGTAGTCGATACCAGCACGGCTTGCCCCGGCGAGTGGATGAATTATCCATGATGTCGTCATGCGTCAAGAGATATGCTTGAAGTAATTCAACCAGCCATCCAAGTACACAAAGATCGTGATACTCTTGCTCGGTTACAGGGCGACCTAAGATTGACAAGCCGGTTTGAGGAACAGAAAGCCCGCGCAGCATCTTGCCGTTCGTTGAATTTTCGTAGAAGCACTATTCCAGACAGCATTTTTTAACTCCGTAGATCGCAAAATTAAGAGCCTCGGGCATCTTACCTTCTCAACATAGTTCTTTACTTCCTGAGGTGCTCCGTTCGAAGCAAAATGCTCTAAAACATCAGCTACAAGCTCCGCAAGAACGCCATCAAACTTGCTCCGATCCACCGTAAAGCCCATTATGCTTGATTTGTGGCTTCCGAGATAGTGAAAATCTTCAAGATTCGTTAAAATATGGGTTGTAAGTATTTGTATGGGTTACAAGTAGGCCGGATAGAGAACCCTGATCATGCATCAGTGGATCCGATGGTGCAGGACTGTTGCTTATAAGTTGTGAAAGCATTAGAAATCATGTGGGAGATGTGCTCTTTCCTGGATTTTCAATAGATGTGCACAGGCTTTATAAACTTTGGAGGGAGATTTAAGTTAACTTCCGGCATGCCTTGACACAATGGGTAGTTTACCTGTTCTTTAACACACTCTTGCATGACTCTTTATGTGCTCTGACGTAATCATGGGTATCTTGCCCGAACTATAACAGAGACTTACATACTAATCCCCATATGTACTTGATTTTCTAGGTCTCTTGATGGCCTACTCTTTCCGCTTGAGTGCTTACCCCTCGCTGCCTTTTGCTCACTGAGTAGATTTACTGGCGTGGTAAGTGAGATAGCCAATCCCGTGTCGCCTGCTGCGACCAAATGGGATGTAACGCCTCTATTCGTCTTTGAGTAAGATCGGAATGCAATTGAAAAGAGATTCTTACTCTTCCCTTGAAGTATGGCCACCTGGACCAGAGTACGATTCGTCATGCGTAGAATCATCTGTAATGCTTCCGTTAATCCTATGGGATTTGCCGTTGCTCAGCATAGTCTCTTTATATCTTTATTGAGAGCAGGATCTCCAAGTTTTGTCCTCTTGAAGGGTGTCAGCGACCATCTAACGAATATCTATCACATCGCATCCCACGTACACAGCGTAACCATATTTCATGGCCTCGATTATTTGGAGGGTGTCACGATGAACCATGAGGACCTTCTGGGCAATCACATCACTGAATGGAGTCTTAGGGCTAACAATCGTGTGGTTGTAGTAGTATGTGTCTATCAATGGATCACGTATATCAACTGAATAGTTTCGAAGATCATTTTCACATTGATCTTTCGTCTTGCAGAGTAACCAAATAGAGAATAGTAGTTATGAAAATATTAGCGCCCTTTTCTAGAGATTTATTTACTTTAGTTCTTATATAGTATTATTATTCCCCAATTAATCAACGGCGCGAAGCGCCTCAAAATCAACCATAACGTGCTCCCGATACGCCGGCCTCTCCTTCAGCGCCTCATAATACCTCAGCAGACCCGGCCTCTCCTTCCGCTCAATGTCAATACTAAAGTACCGAAACAGCAGATGCCCGAACTGCACATCCGCAAGGGTAAACACATCTCCAGCCAGAAACTTCTGCCGCGTCAGCTGCGCCTCCGCGATATCCAGAATGGGATCGAGCCCGGTGACTGCCTCGCGAATCGCGATCGGATCCCGCTTCGACGGGGCCACCCGCACCAGCTGCCACCAGATACGCAGCGAGAAGGCCGGGGTGAAGGTGACCTTGGCCCATTCGGCCCATTTATCGATCTGTGCGCGCGCCCGGGGATCCTGGGGCCAGAACTCGTCGGACCCGTAAGCGGATGCCAGGTACCGGTTGATGGCGCCGCTTTCCCATAAGGGCTCGCTGGCGCCGTCGCGGAGGACAGGGATGCGGCCGTTCGGGTTCATGGCGAGGAACTCAGGCGTGTTGTTGCCGCCGAAGCGTTGGCCGATGTCGTGGCGCAGGTAGGGGAGGTTGAGCTCGGCGATGCACCACATCACCGCCTGAACGTTGGAGGAGTCGCGGCGGCCCCAGACTTCGAGCGTGGTGGTCATGTTGTCGATGATAAAGATGATGGTAATGCTGATGGATAGGAATGATGCTGATGGATAGGCCGAGGAGGCGGCTTACTCGGAGGACGATATCGGACATATACCCCGCCTGCGGAATTCCGGGGCGCTGATTGTGAGTGAGTCAGATTACGGTGCTAACTTATTTGGTATAGACGGTGTAGGATAGGATTGGCCACCGCTCCTTTAGCGAGACGGTCAGCTGCATCGTTACCCGGATCGTCGCAACGGCCGCTGATCCGTGGCTTTTGTGAGCCAGCTTGAGGACCAAGCTGATCGCGTGAAATATCCCGATCAGCTCCGCTCTATAGAACTGCAGTATTTTGCCGGAGGGGCGCAGACTTGTCGTGAACCTGTAGATTTCAGCGGAAGCTTCAGATTCCCAGGGTGGTAGGGGCGTTGGCCGATCGTCTCTAAATGGTTGAGGCAGTCTGGGGCCATGCATTTCAAGGGTATGCGCAACCGCGAAGCATGCATGTATTACCCCATTTTGGCTCTATCTTTGGGCCATCTGGGAGACCTCAAGCTTCAGATGACTGCTGGGGAGAGAGTGTAACCAGACGACGACGTGTTCGGCCTTTTGCCTGAGACATAGATGCGTGGGCAGCACAAATGGTTCAGCTCCTATGGCTGTAGTGACTACTGTTCTGGATGCGGACAGGATGCGGATGAATGTTTCTTGCTGGATCGTGTTTTTTGCTTTGCAGTGGGCTGTGTCAGATGGTCGGTGCGTAGGGGTGATGCAGGCGCGCTGGCCGGAGTGCCCTAGGCCGCACACGGCCAGTTTCCCATTCAGCTAGATATTATAATTGGTAACAGTTGAAGAAAGAGGCGGGAAAAAGGTTAATCATAGAGTTAGCCTCATTCATTGACCGTTTATACGTAATTGGGTGTTCAGTTTCAGTGCACCTTCACCCCCGTCACAGGCTTCTCCATGCACCCATCCATTCAATTCTCGATTTGATAGGTCCCATAAGCATCATTTACATATCTATGAGTTTATCAGAACGTGCATATAATTGTGCCCGAACTTCATTTGCATCCAAACTCGCCTTTCTTTCTTTCTTTCTTTCTCTTTTTTTTTTTTTTTTTTTTTTTTTTTTTTTTTTTTTTTTTTTTTTTTTTTTTTTTTTTTTTTTTTTTTTTTTTTTTTTTTTTTTTTTTTT